GGCATTCCCAATTTCACTGTATATAGTGCACTGCGCTGCCATGGGCTCTTGTCAGAATTCTGACTGAAAACGCCTGAGATTTGAAGAACCAAATCAGGTAATTGGGCCATGGTGATGTGGATGATATTGCGTCAAAGACAGTACTACCCACACTGTCAATTTCGTCGCTTAAATAATGACCTCGACTACATCTCGCTTATTGTTGCGCACATCCTCGTCCATGCCCCGTTATCATGCAATAATGGGCGGCGTGTCGTCCTTCATTCTACAAATAAAGCCGAATTAAAGTGCATTCCTATACATACAAATACGCGCAGGTGCATGTTTGTACAAAGGGGACAACACTATTTGCTCCTGAAATCTAACAATACACAGTTGTATTTTCACTACCAAAAACCAACACAGTGAGTAAGCACGTGGGTTCGTGAGTGTGGACAACTAATACTCCTGCAAAAAGGACAACACTTCTTATTTGAAGTGTGTCGACCTAATCACAGAACAAAAAAACCCTTATTACGATTTACGTAGTATTTATTTGCCTCTATTCACGTTCATAAAAACATTGACATTTTACTATTTGTACACATTTTTTCTCGAAATTTGTTGGTTAATATCGGGTTTCATTATGTAATCTAATTTCTAATTATGTGATATCTTATAACGTTCATATAGTGTATTGTATTTGTGACAGCGTTGATATCATACCTTATTCACAAAAGATTAAGAACGAGAGTGTCATGTTTCTTATCTCACCAAATAGTGTTCCATTTTCGACTGTTCGACATACAATGGTTATCATTGGTCAGTTGAACATTGAGCTCAGTTAGTCACGTGACTTGTGGAAATTTGAACACTATAGGGAGGGAATATGTACTCATGTGACTAATCATTATTAGTTGATTGTTTGTTTAAATGACCATTTCTGCCATATTTCATAAATCTTCGAGTCATCGACATGCTCTCTGATGTTGTAGTATTCTGCGGGTCTTGGATGAACTAGAACCTCGAATTTCAAATCACTGGAAATGGAAATGTACTGTTTTTCAACGAGTTTTTCAACGGTAGCACCGTAATAAACACGCTCTATTCTGAAACAAAAACACAAAAACAGGGATATAGTATAGTCATTGTAATCATGAAGTATAAATATCTCCATTATGTTTTCACAAAATAAACCATTTGTTACTGGCATATTAGCATATTGACCATTTCGTTTCTTCTGCCGTGGCGTCATCTTGAATAAGTGCCCCCCCCCCCGTATAGCGGCTGTACCCCTTCCAGCCGCAAGCCAGAAAGCATATGATGATACGGGGAGTCATGAGTCCAAGATTACTTCACACTCGCACAATATGATTTGTCAAAACTCGGACAAATTGAAATGAATACAAATGCCTCCTACATGTTGTATTGCCCACTAAGTGACAGTACACACTACTACACAGTGCCAACAACTTGCCGTATTTAACTTACCCTGCTAACAAGATGGCAGCAGTACACATGTTACATGGTTCACAACTGGTGTATATATCACATCCCGATAATATCGATGTTTTCAGGGAATCACATGTATTTCTGATAGCAACAACTTCGGCATGAGCAGTCGGATCAACAGTCACAATATACTTTGTTGTATCCCTCACCTAAAATCAGAAAATTCTATTTACAGGACAAGCATGTTTAAAGCGGGAGGGTCGTCACCTGCGCACGCGCGAGAATTGAGTCCCAAGCGATGATAATAACACACGCTAAACACGCAAAGGCTCATGGGTAGACGCTTGTTTGTAAACAATGACACGCTATGGCCATCTGACGCATGCGCAAGCGACGACTCCCCCGCTTTAAATGCTCTTTGTTCTAGGGAGGAAATGACAAATTTGAAACTCAATAATGATTATGAATTTGTTTAAAAAAAGATTATTGCTGATAAATGAACAGATACAGCTATGGGTGATGACCAGATACCGAAATGATCGTACTCGCAGGAGGGCGCTAGATAATTTTGGACAAGAATAATTCATTGGATAAAAATTATATTATGAGATGAGATTAGTGCCAAACAAACGAATTTTATCAAAATGTTGTCATGTTCATATCATTATGACATTATCGTTGTTTATTTCATTAATATGTCATTCTTTGGTCATATTCATTATTTTATTTCATTAATATGATTTGATGATACATTTTCTAATTTTAACAGTGTTATTTCACCACGTTTACATTATTTACAGATTATAATGTCATTATTCGGATATTTTACTTTTTCAGCATGGTGCACGTTAATATTTGGTCATTTTACACTGCTTTTAAATGTTATTATTTGATAATTCTTACGTTGTTACAGCTTTATATGATCATTTTAACGCTGTTCTATCATTTATATGTTATTCTTTAATATGTTATTCTTTTATAGCATGTTTATGTCATTATTGCAACATGTCTTAAAGCGAGAGGGTCGTCACTTGCGCATGCGCGGAATTGAGTCCCAAGCGACGATAACAGCACACGATAAAAACGCAAAGGCTCATGGGTAGACGCTTGTTTGTAAACAATGACACGCTATGGCCATCTGACGCATGCGCAGGTGACGACTCCCCCGCTTTAAGTACTCTCCAGCACAACGCGTACTTTAGTAGATTACCACCCGGTTTCGAGAGATAATGTTATAAATGTGATTAAAATAAACATATTTATAATATAAGGTTATTATGAAGATAC